TTTGAAAAATAAATAGAATAAGATCAAAACTTAAAATAATTGTTTAAGAACATCCATCAACTGAAAAATTATTTTGTATTTTTTGCCTTATTTTCTTTAATCTGAAAACCACAACATAATTGTGGTGCTAGGGGACATTTTGTTTACATTTTCTTAGCTAATTTCCCTCGAGATAACAAATTGGTTTATTACTAAGATGCTGGTTAATAAATACTGTTCCACTTGTAAAAATCATTTAATTAACTTAAAATTGAAATCGTCCCCAAAAATTCCCTTCTAATTAAGGGGATTTAATAGACGGATGAAGTGCGTAAAATTGGAAAGAACATTAACTTTTACGTTTGTGAATTGTGATAGAAGTTTTAAAGAGGTGACGAATGTATACCAATATAGAACCCTACAATTGTGGTTGCCCAAAGGTTCTTCTTTTGAACTTTCCTAAACATACCATTGAAGAGAACTCTTCATATATACATGCATGCTTTTGAATATCGACGGACATTTATAGCAGTCCGAAATGATTGATCTGTGGATGCACAGCACTCAGCAGTAATATAATTATAGCATTCATTGACTAAATAATGCATAAGATTGTATGTATATACGTATATATTGACCAGAAAATGATTGATCTGTGGATGCGCAGCACGTAGTATGATTTGATTTTCTGTTCATAATGCAAATTTTTGATGATTCAAGGAGACAGAATAAAAGTCAGCTAAAAATGACGCTAGAACTATGACTTTTTACATCCCAGAAAAGATGCTGCCGTTTTGCTTTTAGTGGCCTGATTTAATATACGTGTACTCAATACCCTTTGGTCTTTGGTCTTTATCCTGGTTAAGAACGGATTGTGCTGTGCATGGTTACCCTAATAAATATTTTAATATGAGAAGATCACATGATGCAAAGTTCAATACATATGTTAAAGAACGAACCATACACTCACGAGCATTGGAAATTTATGATGACATGCAAAAAACTCGCTGATTCATTAGTTTCAAATTCAAGAATTAGTTGATTTGCAATTGTATAGCGAATATTGATGAAATTTGAGAAAAAAATTTCTCTAAGGGTTCGTTTGATAGCGTTGTATTCTATGAAAAATGTCATATCTGTGAAATTCGTTTTCTACCTCGGCTGTTTGATACGAAAATGAAAATGGAGTTCGAATTCCAAAGTACAAATACTTAAAGTATGTTTATGACTAATTCCATGGAAATCGAATTCTTATAGTTTTGGTGATTTTTCCTTTTCCGACTTATATGGAATTCGTTTGCATTTTCTACCTTTGCAATCAAACGGACCCTTATAGAGTTTTTGATTGATATGAAAAATATCACCTAAAAAAAGAATTTTTTTTTATTTTGAGGAAAATAAAAACCTACTCAAAAGAAAATATTTTTCTTAAAAATTTTTGGTTAGAGTTCATGTAACCAAGGGGCGGACCCCATGGGGTTATGTGGGGTCAAATGACCCCACAAATTTTGCTCTTTTTTATTTTTATTTTACAATCTACTTTGATGCATTCGTCGGGATGTCAAATGAAGTCAAAATATTACATTCTTAATACTATTTCGAAATACTCATGACCTAATTTTTCACTCATTAATGACATGTGAAGTGGTCAATTATAACAAAAGTTATGACATGTTAAAATTTGCCATTTGAAACTAGTATTTTAAGAATTTCGATAATATCCTAACTTTAAAAATTCGTTTGCGATCATGTACTATCTGAATCCACAAATCGTTTATGCCATGTGAAAGTTTGTTTCGAAAACTACATCGTTTTTATATCAAATAGTCCAAACGGATATCGAAAATAGTTAAATATATATATCAAACGTACGTCTCAAAACGATGTAGTTAAATATATATATCAATTAATTATTATTTTTGCACGATAAATTTTTCGATATAATTTATATCGTTTCATTTGGAAGTCTTACATGAAATATGACGTAAATTTTTAGGGTCGTTACGGATTAAATGCAATTTGAATTACTTTCGAATTACATTTACTTTAAATTTGAATTTCAAACTAAACTTGAATTTTATTTCGATTCATTTAATTTCTATATTCAATTTAATTTACTCAATGTTAGCTCAATATTTGCCAGTGAAATGATGAACAAAACTATACAAGTAATGAAATTTATTTAATAATATTAATAACGATGTAATTATACGATGTTTTCAAAGTGTCAAAATACATATTAACTTATTTTCATTGATATTGTATTATTTATTAAAAAAATTATTTTTAAAATTTTGACCCCACAATACTAAAGTTTTGGGTCCAACCTTGCATGTAACCAAAACTCTTTTCTTTTCAGAAAAAGAACACCATTTTTGTCATTTCTGGTGATATACCAGTTTTCTGAGGTTACTTGAATTCAAAACCTAAATAATCCATTGGTCAGCGTTGTCATCTCCTACCCTAAAAGCCAAAAACTAAATTAATTAAAAAGTAAAAAAAAAAAAAAAATTATTAGAACCCTTTTCTCCAGGATGTATCTTATCTCTTCGGATTTTTTTCTGAATCATGACCTCAGCTCTCCTTTTCCACTCAAAACTAATCACTTCAGCAGTTTCAGATTTCAGAATACATTTTAATTAATTAAATGTGTCAATGTTTAGCTTTTTGTGTGAATCCTTCTTGCTTTTTTGACTCAGGATAGGATAGCAATTATCCTATAGACTAGTTGCAACAGAGGATTCGCAAGAAAGAAACGCCAAAAACAAAGAGAATTCTCTGAAAACTTCACTCAATATTATTAATAGTCAAGAATGACAAAAATTAACCTACAAGTTGGGTTAAATAGCTACAAAAATATGAAATTATCGAAAAATTATCAAAAATAGCAAAATCCTAACAATCACACCAAAATAAAATATGAAATAAAAGAAGTAAGTTGCTAAACGTCTAGAAAAAGGGAAACGAAATATTACCATAAATAGTAAAAAATAACTAAACATTAAATTTTGAAAAGGAAAACAACGGATTTTGGGCTCGAAATTGACGCCCACCGAGCATAGCTAGGTGACCACGACGTTTGCGCCGAAGAGAGCTTTTCGGATTGGGGTCATAATATCGATTATGATAACCGTAGCCAAAGTTATTGTCAAATTATTAAAGACGTATCAAAATTACCCCAATTAAGGAAAGATTGCATTTATTTTCTATTTTTGCGCCTATCCGTCATCTCATGGTATCTCAGCGTTATCAACGAGCTATTTAACAAATCAGTGTCACTCAACTCGGATCCTCTTGCATCAATTTTATTCTCCCTTTATCCTTTTCTAAAGCTTATATCAACACTTACAATTACTCATAATAACACATGCCGCGCATATATGCACGCATCTTATTAATTAATTTGTTAATCTTTTTCTTCCTAATGCAACCCTTCTTCAAACTATTCCACCAAGGATCTTGGTTTCATTTTGTTAATTAATCTTGATTTCATTTTGTTAATTAATTTCTGTAAATTACAAAATATTATTTTCCTTTAAAACTATAGGTTCCATCTTAAAAGACTCAAGAATCAATATCTAGTTAGTAGACTGAGATTTAGGTTACTCAGCCTTTTTAACACTTATTAAATTGGTCAAGAGATATACATTTTGATCCAACAGAGTTTTACTAGTAAAGAACGTGTGAGATCATCATCTCCCACTTTTTCAGTGATCTTTTTGAATTCAACGAGGCGGTGCCGTGCTTATAATCATATATAATTTGAGAGATAAGTTCCCTTCTCATACAGAAGATTATTCGTCAATGATATGATCTATCAAAGCATCTTCCATACTAATTTCTAATCTCCATTTTAAATGTGCCATATCAGTGTCTTTTTAATTTAAGAAAACACATTTTTGTTTTCTTAAGACGTCGTTTCAATTATGATCCTTCTAATACTAGTATTGTGTTTGTCTTCTTGATAACAAGTGCAAAACTAGATCATGTGAAAATTTAGATTTTCATAAATCATTAGTTTCTTGGACCCCTCCAAAGTATATTGTATTTCCTAACTTGGATTCGAATTTTCTTCGCCCTTCTAAGCATATTATATTTCTCTTTCGTTTAATGAACTCTTAGGAGTTCACCATCTCAAGAAATAGATGGTGTTAAAAATAGTATGACGCTGAGTATGTACATTAAGGGTCCGTTTGATAGCAAATGTGGAAAAGGCAAATTAATTCCATGTGGAAAAGAAAAAATCAGCAAAACCATAAAAATTTGATTTCCTTGGAAATGCCCAAACACACACTTTAAATGTTTGTATATTGAAATTTGTACTTCATTTTCACTTTCGTATCAAATAGTCAAGATAGAAAACGAATTTCTCGAATATGACATTTTTCATGGAATACGACGCTATCAAAGGACCCTAAAATAAATATACTTTCTCAAAATGTAACTTATAATTTTAGAATTATTCTTGGGGTGCATAACCCATTACATAAGGGTGTCCAAAATTGGACACCCTTATATGCCCCCTTATGTACCATAAGAATAATTGTCCCCCTAATGGAGGCGCCTGTATTGGAGGGGCGCTCTGTGCCCAAAATGGATACCCATATGTGTCTCTCTATCTACCCCGAGAATAATCCATAATTTTAAGCACAAAGAACCATTCTTTTGACATATATACAAGGTGATTATAATGATTATGAGATGTCAAATCTAGTTAACAAATTAAGCCAATTCATTCAACACTTCAACTAAACAATTAATTGTTATGTAATTATGTTGTACAGTTCTGAATAAAAATCCTAGACATTCTAGAGATTATGATGTTCATCAAGATAATGAACTCCCTGGTTAAAAGTACATATTGAAAATTCGGGGGGTGGGGGTGCGCGGGGGAATCATAGCCCTCTATGACTACAGCAGATGACCCCACTCTTCAACTTTCAATTTCGTACGTTTTTCCCTTCCCTTTAAATAATGCTCCTTGAATAAATACTACTTGTCTGATTCCATTTCTACTTAAATGCATGCCCAAATCTCTCTCTCACATACACTCGCAGCTTTTCTACTTCTGTATGAAGTTCTGAAGCTTAAATTAGGGTTGATATCAAAACAATTTTTTCCCATCTTTCTGTACAAAGATCCCAATCAGATTTATTGATCATCTTATGGATATCAACCATCAAAAATTCACAAATCCCACTTGGGACCCTAATATGGTAATGGAAGATCACCATTTTCGTCACGATCATCAACTCCCTTTTGATCATACAATCTGTACAAATTATCCTCTCCAAAATCACTGCACATCATCAACTCTATTACAAGCTCCAAATATATTTAGCAATCCTATGAGGAATCTTGAGAAGCAAGAGGAAGAAAAAGAACCTGAGGAAGAATTAGGAGCCATGAAAGAAATGATGTTCAAGATTGCTGCAATGCAACCAGTAGAGATTGATCCGGCCGCTATTCGGAAGCCTAAAAGGAAAAATGTCCGTATAAGCGACGACCCTCAAAGCGTGGCAGCAAGGCACAGACGAGAGAAAATAAGCGAAAAAATGCAGATTCTGCAAAGACTTGTGCCCGGAGGTACAAAGATGGACACTGCATCTATGCTAGATGAAGCCATTTGCTATGTCAAGTTCTTAAAAAGACAAATTCGACTGCTCCAAACCCCCACTTCAACAGAAGATTGGCTGGCAGTAACAATGGGTAAAGCTCCAGGCTCCGCCACCACCTCCAACGCCGCCATAGCCCGAACCTCATACACATTTGGAGGTAATGGGTTTGAGGGATCTCATAATTTACATTGAGTTCTAATGGCTGAATTAGTTTGATTGTTATGCTGTTATTTAATGATTCTAGTATAAACTAAAAAAAATGTATATAATGGTGATGATTAAGCAAATTATTACAAGGGTTTCCTTTTCTATAAATTATAAGATCCATGTGATGATAAGAAAAGGTTTGTTACAATTTTGTTGACTAAAGAGCTTTGTTATATATTTATTATATTATTTGCCGCTTTGATGATGTAATAAGAAAATGTTTCAAGATTGTAGTACTAATTATATATTATATCCACCGAAGCCCAAAAAGATTGCTTTTGCAGTATCAGATAATGGAAATCAAGCAAGAGATCAGTTATCATGATCAAATCCTACGTATGCACGCACGCTAGCTAGCAAAGTTCTTGAATTTTCTTCATTAACCCATTTATTTACTTCTTTCCCTGATTGTATCATTAAATTCACAGTGCAAATCTCAGTAATAGTCTGTGTGAATGCGTGTATGGCAATGATTGATTTAAAGGTATAAATAACTATTTCTATAGCTAAGAGTAGACTTTAATTGAATTATGGATGTTAAAAATTGAACTTTCTGTATAAGAATTCAACCAGAAAATCCACAGTGATGTAATTTCCATATATTACCTGTTTCATGCACTTTCTTTGACACTTCATGTTGTGAACTTGCCATAGTTTTAGCTAGAAATATCTCTCAAGGTCAGACTATGCAGAGAATTGGGATTTCATCTTGATAACTTAGTGTTGTTTTGGTAGTGTTTTAGAGTTTTTATAACTTGCAGATCTTACGAAATTTGGGGATAGTAAATTGTGAGTCTTAGAGTAACCAATCATATACTTCATATTTAAATGATGCAGGACTTTGTTCGTACTAGCAATGCTTCATCCGAAGAAAGTATCAATGTCATCTTGACCTCATTCCAGATATAGTCCATCCATCTTTTTTACATCACAAAATATTCGGTTAAGTGCCCGTTTGATTCCCACTTTTCTCAGAATAAGAATGAAAATATAGTCGTTATAAAATTCACACAAAAAATAGAAAGTCAAATATGGTGACTTGATGTAATGGATAACAGTCATATTTTTCATTTTTGTGGCCAAAGAATGGAAATCAAACGGGGGCTAGATATGCCTAGACGAAGTAGGGGAGGGCAGGCTTGGACTAAAACAGATCGAAGTAGGGGCCAGGCCTGCCGCCAGTCCATATGCAAGGGAGTGTAAACAATAAAAGAAAATTCAACCCAATTGCAAGGTGGAATGTATATAAAAAATAGTCCAGCCACGCCAAGCCAACTACAATCCCAATCCATCAAATGTCCAATTATTCAAACTTATTAAAGAATCCTCAAAATTTTAATATTTGTTTCATCCGTATTCATGCTACACGAAAGATCCATTATCTACTGATGCATTTTATTTCATGTATGTTTGATTAAGTTTAAAGAGTTCACTTATAATTAAATAATTAAATTTTATATTAATATTTTTATTGATAAAAGTTATTAATAAATTATTTATTATAACATTAAGAGATGCTACATGTTTGAATAAGCTTAAAATTAATTTAATTTTTATTTCTATGTAAGTTTTCATATATTACTTATTCATATTTAGAAGTTAAAAATTTATTTATTTTTACTATGAAATATATATTATTACTAAACTTAGTAACTTGCTCTATTTTTTATTTTGTTACTAAAAAAATATTTGTCAAAAACTTATTTATTTATAAATTAATTTACTATCAGTATATTATTAGTGAGCCAAACATGGACATGAAATAAATTCATTTTCTTTAGACCTTTAATACTCTTGATCGATTTTTCCCACTTCAAGTGAGATTAGAATGTGTTGGTATAAGTTTGATGCCCAATTCGAATAAAATTTTGAGAATGGTGACGTACAATAATATATTTTTTATTTTTTTTAGTCAAAATTTTCAATTGTTTGAAATGATTAGTTGTCAAAGTTCTTTAACATTAGTGTTTGGAAGAATACTTATTAGGTATTTCCTTTATTTTTAATTGGTGGAATATATATCTTTTGCTCATACTTATCACGCTTCTACCACTTTATATAATTGCTAGAGAGGGTTCCGATTTCCTATTTGGCGAGTAAATATACAATGATGTAACAGGACATCTTAGGGTTAACATCTAAATGTACTTGTTTATATTTGACCCTCTTTCTCATGAGTATCATGTAGCGATGGTAATTTGAACATTTAAAATCGAAAATCGCGATTAACCCAATCGAATGGGGCGAAAAAAATCGAACCGATGGTGCAATGGGGCGGATATAGTTTTTATTTTAATGAACCGGTTCGTGGCGGTGTGAGTATAGTATTTACACCGTCGAACCGAAATCGAACCGATTACTCGCTAAAAAAAAACAATTGAATTGATTATTAGGATTTACACTACTTTTCTATCTAGCCCAAAACAAAATCTCCCCACCCCATTACATCTACATGACTTAGCCGGCCAACCCACTTACTAGTACCCCATAATAATAGCATTAGTATTACAGTATATATATGCAAACCCTACTCTTCACAAACCACAAACTCATGCACGGCTCCTTTTATTGTTAATTTTTTTCTATTGTGTATAAAAAAATTTACTTCTTCATCATATTCTAGAACTTCTACAACGTTTAGTGAGAAGAAAGCCGACGAAGAGGTATATTTTTTTTATTTAAATCTTAGTTAAGATCATTCTGGAATATGTAGTATCGTTGTATTCTCTACTTACATTTCTTATTTACTATATGAAAATCAACTTTGAGTGTTGATCTATGCTAGTAAGACTTGTGGAGAAGAATGAATCAAGTAATTTCGATGCACAACAATTAAGAATGAAGGAAAAGTTTAATATTGTTATAGTTATAATATTGTTTGTTAAATTTGTATTTTACAATTGAAAATTGGGATAATATTTGCATTTTTATTTGGAATATTGTTTGATAATGTTTGCATTTTCGCTTGGAATATTTTTGTTTTTGTTTTTATTGACTTTTTCATAAATTGTTTTATATCAATTTGACGGATGAACCTATAAAAAATAATTTATTTTCATGGTTATTAACCGAATCGAACTGAGATACGAGCCGAACCGATTTACGTGGTTATGGTGCGGTTATGGTATGGTCAAAAAATTGGTGGTGCGGTTATGGTTTTGGCCGAACCGACCCATAACCGAACTGTTGCCAACCCTAGTATCATTAGCTTAATCATTTAGACTTTTTTTTTTTTTTTTGTAGCGTAGAGAGCTTCTTTTATGACTTGAGTTAACCGATTTTTTTTTTTTTTAAATTTCAACCCACCCCAACATCGTTCTTTGGCTCTGCCCCTATCTACTTCACGATGGAAACTAGCAATACATCTTAACTAGGTTGGCACCTATCGTGCAATCCCATCATAAAGGAGGTGCTAAAATGAATATACTTCAATACTCGAATACAAGTCAAAATGGACTAATCAAAAAGTTAAAAGGCGTATATGAAAGCTTAAACTTCATATATATTCTTCAAATTTTTAATAAAAATATATTGCTCAAAACCATAAACTACAATTACTTGGCAATCAATTCCCACAACTAGATTACACATGAATATCAACTTAAAAAATCCTAAATTTTGTCTAGTTCTTTACTGGATTCCAATATTTCAATCTCCTTTTCTTTATCCAAGTCATATTTCGTATCATCCAATGCAAAATAATCTTAGTATCAGGCTTCTTATTTCAACTCAAAAATTTCTATTACGTCTTGTAGATTGTAAGATATTATTATCAACATACTCATGATTGTCACAACCATCAACAATCAAAGATTGTGCATTACTAGCATGACTTACTAGTTAAACTAGAGGAAGATCAAATAAGAAGGAGGTCGAGCTTGATGTGGATAGTTTACAACTCTATGAAAAATTTGTTTTGATTCTTCTAATGATCAAAACCCCAATTGATTGTTGTCTATAATTCATCACGTGGATGACTTAGACTAGTTTGGTATTTCTTGAGTTCAATTTGCTATTTCGAAGTTATAAAAATAGGTTGGACTTTGCTAGACTAATTTTGACACAATTTTTAACACAATAACCATGTATGTTTCAGAGTTTAAGCACGCATATATGGTCAACAAAATGAATTGATAGCATTATTATGCGCATATCCCATATGCGAGACATTTCAAAAAAATATCGAATATATGCATGCATTTTAGAACCCGGGGCTCAGGGCCTCAAAAAATAAAAAATAAAAAAATTTAAAGGTCCAAAACTCTAACAAAATTTATCTTTATCTTTTTAAGTTTGTCCTCCATTCGTTTAATAAGCCACGATGAAACCACAAGATGGGACTAAATAAGAGACCCAAACCACTTGGGCCCTTACATCTGGGCATAAGCCAATCAACCCTTATGAACAATATAGGGATGAGCAAATGATCAGACTATCAAAACCGAACCCAACTAATCAGTTCGATTCGATTCTAAAAAATAATAATAATAATAAATAAAATAAAATAAAATAAAATTTTATTGGTTTTCGCTCTTAGTACCAAGAACCAAATTCATATATATGTTAACAATTCAGCGGATCGCACCAAAAAAATCCAACTTTTGTGAGTGAATTATTCATCTACATTAGTGAATCAATGTTATTAGACACAATATATTGGGCATAGTACTTGATATTTGTGTATTAAAATTATGACAATATTTTGTTTGTTAATTTAGACTTATTGCACTATTTCATTTGATAATTGATAATTTGAAGTTGAATTTGCTTAGTGTTTGATGTTTATTTTTTTATTTACACATATATTATTAACTTGTAGATAGGGTAATATATTTTAATCTACATTTATTATTTGAAAATTTAAGTAATAGAACCAGAACCAGAACCAAACCAAACCAATCTAATTAAAACCAAATAGTTCGATTTCGGTTTGGGGTTCCATATCTTTAAAAATAAAAATAAAAAAATTTATTGGTTCCATTATCAAAAAGAATATTGGTTTATGGTTCAATTTCGTTCTCTTGAAACTAGAAACAAATGATTTTATTCATCTAATTTTATTAATCTATTTATCTAAATCAATTTTATTATGATCGTCTTGTATATTTTAAAAGTAAAATAATTCCAAAAATCAAAATTTTCTTGATATACGAGGAGAAGTTTGGTTGTTAGAAAGGAGATGAAAGTCGGAGTAAAAGTGCTTGATATATATCTTGTGCAAATAAATTTTTAAGAAAGAATGGACCCTCTTTTAAAACAAAAAGAAAAAAAAAATTGAAAGACATCTCTCATATAATTTTTTGTTAAGCTTATAACGTTTCTTTAAAATTTGTAAAATAAACTTTATGAAAGTTAAAAATAAGTTATTTATTTAAAAGAGCTCCTTCTATTTTTGAAAAGCTATAGAAAAATTAATGATTGATGCAAAAAGAGATTGTTACACTTGTATAAAAATTATATTTAGGGGTCTCATAATAATTTATTGTCTAGGCTTCAAAATTTTCAAGATCGTACAAAAAATATTGGGCAACCATCACACCATGTAACTGTGCGGGTGTTGATTTCATGTATGGCAAGTGAATCGGCCATCCCATTGCCTTCTTGGAATATACGTGATACTCTGACGGTACATAACATGAGGGATGATGGTGACAACATGGCTTCTACCTTCGATGTTACCGACCTTCCTCTTTTTTTCAACAATCGAACCGGTCACTTTCAAACGATGGACTTTTCCACCCGTGTTCCATGCAAATTGAATTGCATACACCACCTATGTAGCTCTTACTTTATGTATTATAATTTATTGAAGAATGTGGTAGTGTTGTCACTTATATAGGCTGAAGCAGTGAAATTAGATATTATTACTCATTAAAAAAATGTAAAATGTGAAAAAAATATGACGAACCAAAATATTGAGACATGAAATCACAAACATAAAATAATTAAATAGAGTTGAGAAGGAAATACATGAACAATTAATTAGGTTGGCATGTCATGGCAAGCTTCCACATTTTAGACAAACAAAACCTCCTTATTTTACCCTTGAGATGCGGTTGCTAAACTAAAAACATTGCACACGTTAAGTCAATGTTCACCTTAGGTTGAACTCAAACTTCCATCTCAATAACGAAAAATTGGAGAGGTTTACTGGGGTGTTGCCTCGTCAAAATCTTGTTCCCGTCAAATGAGAAGAAAATCACGTTGACTTGGCTCAATTTCTTTTTATGAAAAATTGATGAAATGTATAATTGAAAAGTTGATAAAAGTTATGAATCTCCTTAAATATGACTAAAAATGAAGTTTGATTTTCATGGAATTGGCTAAAAACATGCTTTAAATGTTTGTACCTTAAAATTTGAACTTCATTTCCACTTTCATATTTGGTTGGAGTTCACCCATTAGATGAAATATGACACTATCAAAGGACCCTAAAATAAATGTATTTTCTAAAAATGTAACTTATAATTTTAAAATTATTCTTGGGGTACGTAAATACCGGATGTCCATTCTGGACACCCTTATGTGCCCCCTTATGTACCATAAGAATAACCATCCTCCTATTGGAGGTCACGAGCGTACCTCCAATAGGGGGTGCCGTCTGTCCAAAATGGACCTCCTTATGTACTCCAAGAATAATCCATAATTTTAAGCACAGAGAAACATGCTTTTGACATATATTTATATATATATAAGATGATTATAATGATTATGAGATGCCTAATCTAGTTATCAAATTTAAGCCAATTCATTCAACATTTCAACCCAACAATTAATTGTTGTGTAATTATGTTGTACAGTTCTGAATAAAACCCTAGATGTTCTAGGGATTATGATGTTCATCAAGACAATGAACTCCTTGGTTAAAAGTACATATTGTAAAAAGGAAAAAAATCATAGCCCTCTATGACTACAGCAATGACCCAACTCTTCAACTTTCAATTTCTTACGTTTTTCCTTCTCTTTAAATAAATAAATACTACTTGTCTGATTCCATTTCTACTTAAATGCATGCCCCAAATCTCTCTCTCTCGCATACACCCGCTGCTTTTCTACTTCTGTATGAAGTTTTGAAGCTTAAATTAGGGTTGATATCAAAACAATTTTTTCCCCTCTTTCTGTACAAAGATCCCAATCAGATTTATTGATCATCTTATGGATATCAATCATAAAAATTTCACAAATCCCACTTGGGACCCTTATACAATCAATGGGTACATTAATTAACAAGTCAATATTTGAGCACCTAAAGTTTCATGTTCAGGGTCAAATCGATTTGCAACATTTTAAAATTAAAGTTCAATCAATTGGGACGTGACAAGTACTTATAACAAATTATTAGCATCATGGTAACCACTATTAAATGAATAATTAGTAATCTTACTTGTATTTTTAATTAATTAAACGTTGAGTAGCTATAATTATTGAGTAGAATATTGATGAAATGATTAACGAAATTAATTAGAGCCAACTATACAGGCATATTACTAGTTATTATTGAATAATGGTATATTAAAATACCGCTCTATATGATATTTAGTTAGCATTAAATTATAGGTCTAATAAGTTTGTTATGAAACTTATCACTTAGGATGATATTTTAATATCAATAGTCCTATATACCATTGTATAATGCTATTAATATCAATCTAGATTATAATAGTGACATTAAATAAGATAGTAATTTTATTTAACACTACCTGTGTTAAAAACCAATTAGATGGCATTAAATTATAGGCATAATGATTTATGACTTATTTAATAGAGTTGATCATATGCTGACATCTAAATTAATATTCAATACCGTTAATGTTAGATAACATTATTTTTAAATGAGTCGCTTATAATTTCATCATATTACACCGTCTAAATTGGTGTTGTAGTACCATTGATTCTAAAATGGACTGTGCTACATATACCGAATTATTTTAACAAATCTTTCCTACTACTCACAACAAGGGTAAAGAGCACGGGCCGTCATTTTTAAATACACGCGAAACCCGCCATACATTGTGAGAGGGGGACGCCATTTGGTAAACCCCCCCCCCCCCCTATACATATATATTTATCCCCCTAAAATTAGTATATATCATTATTCTTATTATTGCCCTACTAACTTATAGTAACTCTTCTCATCTAATGGGTCCATGAGGCCAAGATCCAGTACTAACACGTCGAGATGGTAAAATAAAATTTTCATATTTTCAGTGAAATTTCAAGTTGGTCAATAAATTTCAAATTTTTTTTATTTTTTTTGAAATTTCTAATTTCACCACTTTGTCATACTTAGTGTCTCAAATTGATAAAATTTCATAAATGATAATCACACAGCAAAGGAACTTCTAGGATCGTGTCAAATTACCACTGCAATTTCATAAAAGTATTAAAAAATATAATAAGAATATTAACATTTTAATCTTAATATATTGTCATGGCCCTCATGTTTTAAGTATGTCATATAATCGTTACATAGAAGATCAATTACAGCATAGTAGCCAACTAAGAAACGGTTTGGAAGACAATAGTCGTCAGAATGTTATGATAATTAAAATTTAATGATCCAATTAAGATTTTATTGAAACTTAAGAGTGGACATTTAAATGAGGGAAATTAATTAACTAATGATAAGGAGGTGAATTAAAGGTTCCGAGGTTTTCTATTCTCCTAGTCAAACATACCCTTACATATAATTGGCATAAAGGAATTGACAAAATAAGCCCCTGCCGAAAATCTAACCGCTCTGCATACCACGTAGTTATTGTTCTAATTCTTGATTTATGGGTTTGTTCAACTTTCTCGATCTCCACCAATTCCAATTCTTTCGCTTAAGGTTTCTGCAAGCTCCATTTCTTCATAGCCGTTCAAAGATTCATCAAAGTGGATCATCCACCCAGCTTAGTTATTTGGTAATCACAGTCTATAGTTACAAAACAATCTATGCATTGTATCTGGTTCTTATACTTCTCAGTTTGATTCAAGATTTTAAAGAGCCACACTCTTTCCTGGTTGGGATTGCTTTTCTGGAGAAATCTTGGATTCCCGTTTGAATTTTTTTTTTTTTAATTTTGTTGTACTGGGTTGTGATCGAAATAAGATTCAGAGTTTGAATTCTTGAGGCTCTCCTGGATGGACATGGGTGAAGTTTTGGATTTTTGAATAATTTTATACTTCATGGCATTTCGATGTTTTGAAATTGCAGTTACAAAATTACTGTTTGTTGATATTACTGATTGCAGCTAAATTTGGTGTGATGGTGATTGGTTGGTAAATGGTTAGTGTATTGATTGGTTTTCTATGGCAATAAGGTTTCCAGTGAATTGAGTGCCCTACAAGGGATCTCTAATGGTAATCTTGATTCCAATTTTTGAAGTTATTTCGGTCAAATGTGGTGGTCTTGAGCTAGCTACCTATTGAGACTATGAGTAGTTTTAGTAGAAGTGTTTCCTTTAAGCAGAGGGCTGCAAGTATTAACAGCCCCGGATTTTGTAGGAAAACTTGGGTTCCTCGCCTGTTTTGTGCACTAATTGTGATTGGTTCTTTGGTCTCCTTTTTCTTTGTTATTGGTTGTGGGTACTTATATGTCCTACCAAATCTTACCCATACATTCCATGACCACGCGGATAGATTTTCCAACTTCAGTGGTTCAGAAGATACATGTGATGTATATAATGGAAATTGGGTACTGGATGATAGTTACCCCTTGTACAATGCGTCGGAATGCCCTTTTGTAGAGCAAGGATTCAACTGCCTGGACAATGGTCGAACGGATAATGATTATATAAAATGGAGGTGGAAGCCAAAGAATTGTGCCATACCGAAAGTTAATGTGCAGCTTGTTTTGGAAATACTCCGAAATAAAAGAGTTGTTTTTGTTGGTGATTCGATGAGTAGAACACAGTGGGAGTCTTTAATATGTTTACTAATGAATGGTCTGGAAGATAAGAATAGTGTGTATGAAGTCAACGGGAACAAGATCACGAAACAAATTAGATTTTTAGGCGTAAGGTTCAGTTCCTTTAACTTCACTATCGAGTTCTACCGATCAGTTTTCCTTGTGCAACACTACTGGGCACCTAAACATGTACCAAGGAGAGTTAGATCAACACTTAAGTTGGACAAGTTGGATGATATCAGTAGGGAGTGGATTGATTCAGATGTTCTTATTTTCAATTCTGGTCAATGGTGGATTCCTGGGAAGATCTTTGGAATGTAAGTTTCCTTCTTCCTTTAAGCTTGAATTTCTCATTGTCCCGTCTATTCCATTTCTATACATATAGTGATTGATTGAAAGTGTTTTTATTAGATCTTTCCACGCAGTTATGAGTAAATATACAAAAGCTCTACAATCAGCTCCTCCTCCAGACACCTCTCTCTTTATACTGTAGATAGTACAATTGAAGTTCTTAACAAGGAAAACCTTTATTCTTGAGAAAATGATTCTTAAACTTAACCACTCAGGATTGATTTTGTTCAACTGCTTCACTTTATAATAGTGTTGGACAGAGGTTGAGTGTTTTGCTTAGTTGGTTACATTTGGCTAGGAGAACTTTTTCATGAGTTTTTTGGATCAAAATACTTTTTAGGAACGTTTTGGTGTTTTCCACTTCAATTGTGGCAAAACAAAAATCTTGGTCTCACTTTATTGTTTTGACAGAAAGCATTTTTGGCAAAGCTTACATTATAAATCAAGCTTTAAACATATTTTTTATCCACACATTTCTTAGGATCCACAATTTATCCCCACATTCCATAGGACCCGCAACATATAAGCACTTAAAAGCACTAAGAAACAAGCACATACATTTGGGCAAATAACACTCACAACAGCCCAAAGCCACTAAATTGTGGTGCTTTAATTCTTTACTCCCATGTATTCTAAGATTTAACCCCCACTCCCCTCCTTTTCTCCCCTCCAAGTTGAAGAGTTGGATTAATCATCTTTGGTGATGTTACAGCTGTTACTACTCTGTTTCTCTAGGAGAATTTGATGATATAGTATATTTTGTTATAGTTTGGAAAGTGAGGGCTCCAAATAAAATGTTTGTCATTTATGGTGTATTGAAGAATATTAAAAGAATGTTGTTAAGAAAATATGATTGCATTCTAGTCCCTATGATATCATCAAATGAAAGAAAAAAATCTAATTGGTCCTACTATTACTAACTTTTCGACTTCTACGTTCAAATTCATGATTACTTGGACTTGCATAATTTTTAGCAGTCTTCATGGTGTTAAAAATTTCCAAACCAGTCATGTATTGTGTTGTGTAAAGACAATAAAGACACGATGAAAAATAATTGTTTCCCACTTGATTGATTATTCTTACAGCATTATGCCACAATATATAATATAATACAATTGTGAAGAAAAGGAAAATAATATTCTAACTTAAGAAAGAAAGTATATTTCCTAACTTAGTTCTAATTATACTATACACTAATATTACAATAATCCAATAATTGATTCGGGATTTCTACACTTTCCCTCAAGTTGGGTCATAGATATTAATCATATCCAATTTGTAGTTGAAATCATCAAAGATTTGTCTTTGTAGCCCTTTGGTGAATATATCTATAGTTTGTTCTTTGGTAGGGACGTAGATCATACAGATGGTTCTATTTTCAACTTTCTCCTTAATGAAGTATCTGTCAACCTCTATGTGTTTGGTTCTTTCATGTTGAACAAGATTGAGTGAGATGCTGATAGTTGCTTTGTTATCGCAATAAAGTTTAATTGGAAATTTCATTGCAATTTGTAATTCTTCCAAGAGTTTCTTTAGCCATAGTCTTTCATATATTCCTTGAGTGGTTGTTCTAAATTTTGCTTTAGCTCTTCTTTTGGTTACTACATTCTGTTTCTTACTCTAAAGTAACCAAATTTTCCATTACAAAAGTCTAATAATCAGTGGTTGATCTTTTATCTTCTATTGCTCCTACCTAATCTACATCAATGAATATTTCTATTTCCTTCTTTTTATTTTTCTTGAACAGTACTCCTTTACCAGGAAAGCCTCTGAGATATATCAGAATCCTGTATATTGCTTCTAGATGAGCTTCTTTGGAGAATGCATGTATTGGCTTACCATAGTTACCGTGAATGCAAAATTAGGTCTAGTGTGTGCTAGATAGATCAGTTTCCCAACTAGTCGTTAATGTCTGTCATTTTCAACTGATTCTCCGATGTTCTCTATTTTTCTTCCCGCATTCATAGGGTTGTCACTTGTTGTGCACCCAAACATACCAATTTCAATTAGGAGGTCAGAATATATTTTCGTTGCGAAATACTGATACCCTTCTTTGATTTGGTTACTTTCATTCCTAAAAAATATTGCATTTGTCCCAAGTTTTTTACTTAAAATTCTGTTGTTAGATCCCTTTTTAGTCTCTATCTTGACTGCATTATCTCTAGTAAGAATTATGTCGTCAATATATACGATTAGAATGGTCTTTATCCCATCTTCAAATACTCCAAAAAATATAGTATGATCTGACTGCCCTTGTTGGTATCCCTGATTTTTCAACACATTTGCAAATATGTTAAACCATGACTTAAGGTCGTATAGAGACTTTTAGTTTGCATACTCTATTTTCTTCATTTTTCTTGGAGAATTCAGGTGGTAATATCATGTAAACTTCTTCTTCCAACTTCCCATTCAAGAATACATTCTTAATATCAAGTTGTTGGAGGGGCCAATCCAAGTTTGCTACTAGTGATAGGAGAACTCAAATTGCATTCAATTTCGCAACCGGTACGAATGTTTCTATGTAATATATATCATAAGTTTGAGTGTATACCTTTGCAACCAGGCGAGCTTTGTACCGTTCTATTGTTTTGTTTGCTTTATATTTCACATTAAAGGTCCATTTGCATCCAACAGTTCTATTTCCTTTTTGTAGTTCCATCACATCCCAAGTTTCATTTGTCTCCGAGGCATTTCATCCATAACTGCCTTTCTCTACCTAGGAATTTTCATGGCTTCGTGAATATTTCTAGAAATTTCTGTGCTGACACGGATAGAGACAAAAGTTCGAAATCCTGGAGACAAAGCTTTATAAGAAACAACATTTGAGATAAGGTGAAGAGTACATGATCTAGTTTGTTTCCTAAGAACAATAGGTAAATCAGTGTCAGGTGATTTTGGAGAAAGCTTACTGGAGCTATCACTGATTTTAACTCTCTTGGTGCTTCGAGTGTGAGTTTTTCCTTATACTTTAATTTTGACTTTCTTGAGTAAACTATGAACTCTTTGTCATGTTGTTCTTTCTGCTCCTCCTTGAATTCAAGTTACCTTCAGTGGATGGCATATTGAGACATGATGGTGTTGTAGGTTCAGTGTTCGAGATAGATTCATAGGGATGAAAAGAGATTTTCAAGAACCAATCTTCACTTAAGTTCTCTCCCTGGTGAGAGGATTTTGAAAATAGGGACTGTTATGAAGAAAGTGACATCAAGGCTGTCAAACACTATTTTTGTGATTGGATCATAGCATTTATACCCCTTTGTGTAGGTGAGTATCCAATGAATACACAATTAAATGCACAAGGTTTGAGCTTATTTCGATGATGGGAATGTATATGGACAAAGGATGTACATCCAAACACTTTTAGAGGAAGGTCAACGGCAAGACGAGAGTAAGGGAAGAATTTCTAAAATTTTTGGAGAGGAGTTTCGAAATTGAGTTTGTGGCTAGACATTTTATTCATGAGATAGGCTGATGTTAAAGTAGCATCACCCTAAAAAGTTTTGTTTATATTTGTAGTGAACGTCATGGCACGAGTTACCATAAGTAGGTGTCTATTTTTTTGTTTGACAACTACATTTTGCTGGGGTGTATCGATACATGAGTTTTGGTGGATTATCCCATTTTGTTGTGGATAGATCTTTAGCTATCATTGAAATATTTTGTGCCATTATTTGTGCGCAGAATTTGGATTTTTGTCTGGAATTGGGTTTGAACCATGGAATGAAAATTTATGAACACGGAACAAACATCAATTTTTTTCTTTTGGCATATAAACCCGACAAATTCGATTATGATTGTTGATGAACATTGCAAATTATTTTGTTTGGGCGAGATTAGGGATTCATGATGGTCCCCATAAATTATTGTGAATTACAGTAAACAGTTTAGATAGTTTGTACAAATGAAGAGTGATAATATTTTGCAAGTTCACAAATTTCACATTCAAGATAAGAAGGTATTTTATTCAAAAATATTGAAGAAAATACATATTTTAGATACTAAAAATTAGGATGAATCATTCCATAATGCCATAAAGGAATTTCACTATTCTTATGGACAAAGGCAGAATCACGACCAACAAGTCGACGTTGTTTACTCACATAAATCTTGTAAAAGTAGTAGTCCCTCACACTCTTTAGCAGTACCGATCGTTTTCCCTAACAATAAGTCCTGAAAAACATAGTGAGAAGAAAAATGTTAGCGGAGCAATTTGAACTTTTTGTTAATTAGCTAATGGATAGTGGATTGCAGGATAGGTTTGGGACATGTAGAACATGCTCGAGTGTGATGGAATTAGAGATTCGAATACTCCTTTTCTAGCTACTGGGGAGAAAGAGCTATCTGCAATTTTTCCTTTAAGATTACTAGCATAAGGTGAGTATGAAAGGAATAGATGGTGGGAGTCCGTCATATGATCGGATGCACCAAAATCAATAATTCATGGTACTTTGGAAAGTGAAGTGGTGTTTAGAGCTCAATGAAATTACCTCTGTGAGACAAGGAGGTTAACGAGCTAGATGACTGAACGTTGGAAAACATTTTGTAGAGTTCTTCTAGTTGCTCGGAATTAAATGCATTGCTCGGAGTAGAGTTTTGTATTTTAGTGGAATCAATTGTAATTTAGTAGCAATGATTTTTGGTGTTCTGTCTTGGTTTCCAATCAGAGGGCTTTCTATGCAAATCCCAACATGTATCTTATTTATGACTAGGTTTTCGACAATGGTCACATAATGGACAACCTTTTTGTTGTCTCGGGCCAGATCCAATTTTTTGAATTTCTCTAAACATTTAGGCTCCCAAATCAGGCCCTTCTTTAGCATAATAGCCCAATGACTCTCTTCGCGCTTTACTTCGGCAAAGATATTGCGTGTGGCAGGTAGTGGCCAGCGACCAAGAGTCTGGCCTCTCACATCATCTAGTTCTCTGTTCAACCCAGCCAAGAATTAAAACACTCGTTCATTCTCCACTCTTTTCTTGTATCGAACACTGTCGTTTGGGCAATCCCACTGTTCATCGATGTTGCGGTCCAATTCTTGCCAGAGGACAATCATCTCCATGTGATATTCAATGACATCCCTTTCTCCTTGCTTGGCCTGGCACAATATATTTTTAATTTCAAAGATTTAGGACAAATCTTTCGCGTCGGAGTACATCTCTCGAACGGTGTCCCATATGTCCTTTGCAATTCCTGTGAAGAGATAGATTTTGCCAATTGCTGGCTTCGTCGAATTGACTAACCAAGGCATTACCATGGAGTTCTTAGATTTCCATTTTTGTTGGAGTGTTGCATCCATGGGCCTCTTCGTATCGCCGATATGGTACCTAATTTTTCATTTCCCATCGACCCCCAATTTAATTGATTGAGCTCATTCTCTGTAATTTCTACCGTTGAGCTTCTGCACCGTGGGTTGGAAGGAGGAATTATCACCTCCATTTGAATCATGGTAGGGATGGTTTCAATTTCACCAGTTTTTATTTCAAAGGAGGCTAAGTTTTTACTATTGGCGGTGTTTTTGGCCATCGAGAGTCGGGTTTGGATATAACCCGACTCTGATACCATAATGACAATAAAGACACGATGAAAAGTAATTGTTTCCCACTTGATTGGTTAATCTTACAGCATTATGCCACAATATATAATACAATACAATTGTGAAGAAAAGGAAAATAATATTCTAACTTAAGAAAGATAAGATATTTCCTAACTTAGTTCTAATTATACCTCACACTAATATAACAATAATCCCATAACTGATATGGGATTTCTACATTATGATTATACGTAAACAGATTGCTATCCTATGCCTGAAAAGGCAAGCTTGCTTAAATAACATATAGTCCTGAATCTTCGGATACACTATTACCTTTTTTCCCCCTTGGGTAATGAAATGTAACGGTTTTTACGTATTTGCTCAAAATTGTTGCATTATTTCTTGGGGATTCCTTCTATCCTTTTTAGGTAACTTTTAACTGTCCCGCTCGTAAGTTTCTTCATTTGGGAAATTTATGTAAGACTTGGACATCCTAATTTATCTAGATAGGCTTTTGAGACTCATTTACTAATCTAGATAAGTTCTAGACTCGCATTTTTCACAACAAGTTGTTCCAGCTTTTGCCCATAAGTTGTTAATGGTCTGTTATATCAAGATACATAATACCATATTGTACTTTTAATGTTCTTTACATTAATCTGTCTGCATGTGATGTCTGACATGATAGTGTTGGAGAAAATAATGGCACATAAAAAATTTTCTAATAAGTTGAGTAGTTTTTTTGTTTCAAATGGGAGACTCTCACAGTGTATGGCTGTCTTTTGATGTATGTTTTTAGCTAACTTCTGAATTCCTTGTCATGACAGGGGATGCTATTTTCAAGTTGGCAATTCACTAAAGCTTGGAATGCCGATTGCCTCTGCCTTCAGAAGGGCATTAAGCACTTGGTCTTCATGGGTCGAGAGCATGATAAATCCTAAAAGAACACAGGTCTTCTTCCGAACTTTTGAGCCTTCTCACTGGAGGTAATATGCTTTTCTTTGAGCAATATTTAGCTTTCCATATTCATGCTGTCAAATTTGTACTTCACTTTGCTGCAAATGTTGGTTTTCCTTGCATTTATATATAACGGATCCTCTTCATTGTCATATTATCCATTTTCCTTAAAATGGAACAGAGTTAATATTTTACCTTAGCTGGTATTATATGTCAAACATTGAGACAGGGATCATATTCCTTGGGACTCACCTCATATTACTTCCGTTGATAAATACATAATTTTGCCTTCAAAAGTTGAACGATCTTTAATATTTTGGTTACTATACTCTTAAAAGGCTTTTGAAAGTGATACTTTGTTCGTTATGAAGCTGCTGCTACAATTAGTGAGCAATTTCTATCTGCATCAGTTGCCCCTTAATCTTCTTTACTGTGTATTTTGACTCATTGTGAGAGATTTATCAAAAGAATGGTGGCTTGGTTTTGCACCAGGAATCTAACTCTGAGGCAATGCAATGTCACAAAGTTTCCACTTTTAGAAGCTGGGGGGAAAGATAGTAGTTCATTTTCAGATGCAGTATTCGAGGTGGTAAACAATATGACAGTTCCTGTTACTGTTTTGCATATAACTCCGATGTCGGCATTTCGAAGTGATGCACATGTGGGTACTTGGAGTGACAGGCCATCTTTATCTGATTGTAGCCACTGGTGTCTACCCGGAGTACCCGATGTATGGAATGAGATAGTCATTTCATATCTGCTTGGTAGCAATGAACCTGCTTCTACGAGTGCAAGCACAAGGTACGTTGAATTGCCCTTTTTCTCTTTCTTAGGCAGTTTGAAGTGGTGTTTTATCGCTATGCTGCTTATGGTTTGGTCACATCGTGACGTATAAGTATGTATAGAAGTTCCATTGACCAACTCATTTGCGACTAAGTATGATTTCAGTTTGAATTTTTATCTCACTTTCCATGGAAAGAATACACAACTCTTGAGCAAGTTTAGATACACCTTTTCTTTTTGTGCTCTTGATAGTTTGGATGACAATCGTGTGATATATATTGATATTGTAACTGATTTAATGGATCTGAAACTTTACTTTCTTAGAGAGCTTCTGTAATTATTAGGGTGGAAGACTAAATTTAGCTCATGTGATACAGATTCTTTAAAACTCGTTTTACCAAACACATTTTCAACCACACATTATCTCAATAAAATAATTTTGAACGTGGACCTATACCTTGTCCCTACTTCTTAACAACACAATCTTCAAAAATTTCTTTTCACGAAATGTATTCTCAAAAATTCTAAATCAAACAGACCCTTAATAAATAAATGTTTTTCCAGCCTAACACTCTTAAGCTTTGAAATGAGTTGGTTCACGGAAATGAAAAGTCGTAAGCAAACCTTGCTACCCCCTACTTAATAAAAATTGAAAATTATCCACGTGTCAGGCCTATAAGAAATGATACTGGCTTGCACCTGAGATGTCATTTTGAAGACTAAATTTAGATAAATATATATGACCCCTCTCTAAATAGCGAGCCCATGCCACTGCTTTTTCTGATTGACTGTTACACCTTGAATTTTTACTTTGATAAAGAGTTTCCAATCTTACACTTCATATCTTTATCCTGGGCATTCTCAACTATTACTCAAGGGCTCATACTAGGTCTTTTAAGCATCTTGCATCATGATGTTTAGAGATGGCTCTCTATCGTTTTCGTCTGGGAACATTAATTCCGATCCTTGAAAATAATGTAAAAGTGATAAATGAAATAAAGTAGAGAAAGGAACCATAATCATTTGAGCTGGATGAGTGATCCTTTAATTTTTGTTTTATTAGATCTGATTGAACTAGTAGCTGAAAAGTATTGTATTCTTTTATGCAGATTCAAGAATGTATGATATCTAGCTCACAATCCAGCCAAGGTATCGTCCAGTTAAAGACCAAGGAATTGTGCAGTTGTCAAAATAGCAGCAAATTTTGAACAGAGGTGTATAGTAAAGATGAGCGGAAGAACCTGTTAAGAAACATATTTTATTTGTTCATTTTTCGATTCTTTTGTCCAACAAAAGGGGAAATGTATCAATTGTTTTGTTGTCTACTGATCAGATTCAATTTTTTACACTGTTGTAATAGTAATACTAACTGCAACAGCAACTGTTTATAAATGTGAAAACCATATTGTTATTTCTTACAACTTTATTGCAAGTACCATATCTTTGGTAAACTCTGTGTCCATTTTTGCTTGCCATGTTCATTAGTTTCTTTTATTGATGATATAACTTCAGGATAGTAAGACCAAAAATTTAATTCTCCGCTTAAAAGGGCCCTTTTTTATAGGTCCAAAACTGCAATTTTACCTCATTAAAATGGTCATCTATTATTTTTCTCATGAAGTGATAAACTGAATCATTTGTTGAGTCCGTTAAGCTAATACTAACTTGACGATACATTTTGTTGTTTTCCACTCAAAATTTGGCGTGGTTGGACGAGGTAAGTACTTCACCATTGTCGAGTTACCAAACTTTGACGAGGAAGATGCAGTGTTATTACGATATAGTAGCTGTCATTTCTTGTAATATCCTTAATTGGTGTTGCAAAGAATAAATTGATAGCACGATCAATGCTGATACCTCACAACCACTGTTATAGATGCTACCTCGATTTCTGCCGTGGTTACTATAACCACGCTTAGCATCACGATTGTTGGAATCAAGAAGAGTAGTGGTGGATTGATCTTGAGTGGTATGGTGATATAATTCGAATCAATTTTCACAATCGAGAAGCATATTTTAGATGTCGTCAGAAGAGAATATGGTGAACATAGTGTGTTATGTATTAACCACAACATCATAATTTAGATCAAGTCCATCAAGAACACAATCAATAATTTATTGATCGTTGGTTGGTTGTTGAATAAGAGAGTTCATTTATGAGGATGCAGTTATGATCCATATATTCCGTAATAAAAATATGGACCTTTGCAAATATTAAAAAGACAACGTTTAATCTAATAATATCGAGCATTGATCTGAGAGGTACAAGCCCCCATCAAGAGCCTCTCAAGTGGAATAAGTTGCCCTGTAGACAATAATTTGGACACGGATATGTAGTTTGCCACTTCTTATGATGAAGCGAAAGTAAATAACTTACTTCGATAGTATTAAAAAAAATTTCTGACTTTGTTTAATGTTGATTAATGTTGTTCACTAGGTGACCTCTAGTGATGATTATTACAAGAGAGGCATTTTCAAAAATTAGGCTCCATTTAACGGCTAAATATTTAGAGAATGTATGATTAAAAAATAGGAACAAACTTTAGATGTACGTGAAAAATATTTTATTGTAAATGTATAGTTAAAAATGAGTACGAGCAAAAAAAAAAATTGAAATAATGGTTACCAAGGGCTAATTGCATGTTTCCACCTCACAAAATTGTACTGCCAGAACAAATTTTGTCGTGCCAGAAATTTTTGATTGTATGTTTCTCTTTCCTAATATACTACTTTATCTGAATATAGAATTTCACTCTGATCACTTCACATTTGGCATTGAACTTTTTTTATTAATTATATTCTTTTTCTCTCCTTCAAAATTTAACCGTCTCTTACCTACGGAAACTGGTCTCTGCTTTTTCTTTTTTCTTTTTTCTTTTTTTTTCCCCTCACAAATCAAGAAAAACCCTAACCCTAAAATACCCTTATTTTCTAATCAAGGAAGATGTTAAATGTGATTTTTTCAGCTGATGCTACTGTTTATGTCTTCATTACACCTTGATTCGACGCCGCCGCTATAAATTGCTGTAAGTCTGTAAAAACTCCCTTTTTCCCTCTCTCTGTGCAATAAATATGACGTATTTTATAATATATATTGGTCCCCATGCGGCTAAATGTGTGTGCGTGAGTGCATTTGTTGTATGCATGATTTTTTTCTCTTTCCTGTACTAATATTTGATTCTAAGAAATGAAGCTGTGGGTTTGGTTTGTGTTGGATTGGATTAGAGCCTATCGGATTATAGTTAGAAATGGAACAAGAATTAGAACTGATAATCGAACTAGTAGTTTTTTTTATGAGGTATGCATCAGTAAATGTCATTTATTTCTTTGTAATTTGTTCTTGTATTTTCATGGAGAATAGTTCAATTTGAGTTAAAGTAAGGGCCATTAGCATTCAAGTTTCCCTGCTTCTCTTAAACCTGGTTGTTGAAATGTCGGAGAGCTGCATTCATAAGTTGTGATATGACACAATTATAATGAAAATCAAAAGTACTCACATTTTCAAAGTTAGAAAAAGGCGAAATAGACAGTAGCATGATTATAGACAAACTTTTAATGCAAAAAGATCGAAGTTGGTAGGATATCTTATTAATATTTATCAACCACAAAGTGGCAAACCTTCAAATATGTTGGACGAGGACACCCGGGGGGGGGGGGGGTTGAAATTCTAAGCCACCTGAAACGCTTGGTGTGAGCTCATGACACCATAAATTGATTAATGCTAAGAATGGTTAGAATTCAGAATCACTCGAAAGGTTGGATGGTGAGCACAAAAGACCCTAAATTGGGTAAGGCTAAAAAATTTACATTGCCTCCATGATGGTAAACATTAAAAAAAAAACCACAAAGTGGTAGAAATACAAAATCACCCAAAGAGCTGGTTGGTTGCATAATTTTTTTTTTTTTTTTTTAAGGCTCAAAATCACCTTAGAACTAGGGTGGTAAATATTATAAATCCATAAGTTAGTTAATGCTCAACAATCAAAGTAGTGAACATCATGATACCACAAAATAGTTAAAATTTAAATCATGTGATAGGCAAGGTAGAGAGCAAAGCAAAAAAAGTAAAAAAAAAATAAATAAATAAATAAAAGATCCAGAAACACCCTAAATTCCTACTCGTCCAGAAGGGTGGTTATGATAAAAATGCAAAATAAGTAAAATACAAAATTTCTCGATTAGTCCGAAGCTGGATGCAGTTCATCAATAGGGCAGTCAATAAATTTAATGAACAATTTACTGTTCCTTGTAGATTAAGAAAGGAGAGTTTGGAAAAAAATTTACTATTGGGTTGTTCCATCTTTCACTCATGAAGGTCCTTTTGTTGTTACAATTGTAGTACTTCTGACATTTGAGTAAGTAAAGCTTTTGCCTCATATATTTTACCTAGTAAGGAATTTGTGTTGAACTTTGGATATAGGGCTTACTTGGATGCACCAGAAGATTCCCATCCATTCGTTCAATAGCTTATGAAATGAAGCGAAGGACCAATGAGGTACCTAGGAGTTCCAGAGGTTTGCAGGGTGAGGGCCCTAACTGGGTCCTTATCGCAGGCGGTGCTCTGTTGAGTACATTATCAGTTCGTCTGGGTTATAAGCTAAAGCAGGTCCTTGACGCCAAACGACCAGAAACTAGCAGCAACCTTTTAAAAGGTATTATTACACAATATATTTGCGTTGTCACAAAAAAATAATAATAATAATAAATAAATAAATAAAAATTGATTTCGTTAGATCTTCTAAGGGGTGTAGCACTAGACCGAACTGAGTGATGAAAAAGGATTCATGTAGCCAACTCTTAGTTGAATAAAGCTGAAATCGTTCTTGTTGTATGTAAATTTGTTATATGCTCTAAATAGTTGTTTACAATGTAGGAAGTGGAAAATTTACTGACGAGAAGAAGTCAAGGAACAGCCATTTGCATTCAAATTCTTATTGTTTTCCTCGAGATGGGCATGGTTGCCACAAATGTTATTCAGGTTCAAACTTTCAGTCATGATTCTATCCTTGAGTTGTTCTGAGAGTTAAATTAGTTTCTTTTGAAACTTGTACATTTTTTTCTTTTAATATGATTTCATTTTATGAAGAAAATGCTTCGTACTGATTTTTCTAGAAGATATAATGAGATATTTCATGTGAGAGTGGGTAAAAGTTGGTTTTCACTTATCAAAAAGTATGCATACCTTCACACTTTAATTCTTTATGTGATTTCGTGGAACAGGATCTCGAAACATGGTGGAAATCAAACAACAGTGCAATGGCCAAATAGTTACCGAACCTGAAATAGCACTTCCTTTAGTCACTGTGCCTGCTTCTGAGTTTAGCAAAGAGAATGGTGCAATCTGGGCATCTTCTCCTGATCGTCTTGAGCTGCTTCAGAAGCCATTCCACCAGTCAAACAGCTCTGACTCACCATGTGTCTCAGAATCTGGTTCTGATATTTTCAGCAAGCGAGAAGTGATACAAAAGTTGAGACGGCAGTTAAAGAGAAGAGATGACATGATATTGGAAATGCAGGATCAAATTACGGAACTTCAGAACTCTCTTGGTGCTCAGCTTTCGCATTCTTCCCATCTCCAATCACTGCTGGATGCTGCTAACAGGGATATATTCGATTCAGAGAGGGAAATACAGAGATTAAGAAAGGCAATTGCTGATCATTGCGTGGGGCATGTGGATTCTAGTGACAATCCCCCTATGGTTCCAGCGTGGCCAACCGGAGGCAGGAATGGCCATTCAAATGGGTATCTTAAAGTTGAAAGTAATGTGGAGTCCTCAGAAAATGGGGGAGGAGATGAGGGAAAGATTGAGATGTTGAGACGGGAAGTGAGCGAGTTAAAGGAAGTGGTAGAGGGAAAAGAATACCTGTTGCAGAGCTACAAGGGGCAAAAGGCTGAGCTATCAGAAAAGATCAAAGAGTTGCAGCAGAGATTGGATTCTCAACTTCCACATATTTTGTAGACAGTATTGGCTTCTTGTGCATTCTTGTTTTGCTTCATTCTTGTGTTTCTCTGCTTTATTATCCTATCTGAAGCTCCCAATTTTGGAGTAGCTCTTTTGTTCCTTCCATTGACCTTTTTTTTCTTTTTCTTTTTTTTTTTCTTTTTTTTTTTTCTTTTCTGCTTCTTTTTGTGCATATGTGAAAAAGAGAGATGTTCAGAAGTTTGTAGAGGTCAAAGAAACCCGGGTGAAACGATGTTTTGTACTTCGAATGCATTCAGTATTCAACTTGCAATTTTAAATGTATCTGTACAAAAAGGGGTTGCAATCTTGCTGTTTCCAAATGATTTCAGCATAATAAACAATGTTCAAGGGGAAAGAAACTGTGTATATTATGGAAAACTAACATTGTTTCATGATATTGGACTTTGGTATTAAAGTGCATATAATTTAGCTTACAATTTGCAAATGGTTTGTGTGAACTTTATTTTTGGCTTTTTGCATGTCACTAATGGGTGGTCATATTACCTTTTCCTTTTTGAGTTCTGCAGAGTGATCTCCATTTCTTGGATAACCAATTATTTTTCTTTGTTCATTTTCGACTAGCCATTCAATCTTCAGCACACCGGTAGACTTTATATTTATGTTTTCTGCTCGAGTTAATAGATTGTGTAATAAACTGAATAGAGTGTGAAAAAGGATATGGGAAACTAACTATAAATTTATGGAGAATAAAGCTTAGTTCGTCTTTTTTGCTCGAGTTGATTTGCACAAGTTAATATTGCTGTATGAAATATTTTAGGCTGAGTTTCTGAATAGCAGTTCTCACGAAGGCCAAGTTCAATCACTTGGTAACAGCCATATGTTCTAATAAGCATTGTTTAAAATATTAAAGATATTTTGGTACATTGGATTTAAAAAAAAATGAAAGAAAGTAAGAGAGGCATACGAGAAAATTTATTAGGTCAGCGTATAAAATGCTTTTCAGAACATATTATAAGTGGGATTATGATTTTTTACATTGGATGACCTGGATAGCTTTTATCCAAGCATCAGAATGCCACATTGAAGAGTGTCACGAAGTTTAAATGTACTTAAATTTGGAAGTATGTAGATGCTTTTCGAAGAAGTTATTTTTAAACCCAATAAAACGTCGATTGACATTCATTGAGTCTACTACACAGATTAGCAAACTGAATTCAGAAAAGATATCGAAATCCCTCCTGAAATTTACAAAAAAGAAAACAATAATGATAGCAGGACATAATATAGAGCCAGCTACCAACCAAGAGTATCAATAATCCCCAAAACAACATCACAGATTTGCTTCAAGCCATCTTCTCTTATTACAATTTCAGGTGGATAAATCAGTCCTGGATATCTCTTCAATGCATCATGACATGAATTGGGATAATCTGCAGCTGCCATTACATGCATGTAAGCATAATCATATAATTCTGCACCCAAATCTTGAACTGCATTATACAGTGCTTCACTTGCAGAGGCATACTTATCAGCACATTCCTTGATGATTTTCTTCATCAGTGTGTTATTTGTGGTATTCAGCATTTGGGAAGAAAGGTAAGAATTGGTGGCCGTGGCATTGTCCATTCCAATTCTAATCATAACAAGGGCTAAGTCCTTGATGTCTGCTTTTGGGCTGGTGGAATCAGATTTGAGTGAAGATAAACAAAGTTCATAGTATTTTGTGCGTTTGCAAGTCTTTTGGATCAAATCCAAGTTTCCATCAACAGAAACTGTTGGACGTAATGAAATCAGGAGAAAAAAGAGCAACGAAAACCCCATTTCACAGTGATTTTGGTGGGAGAGAGAGTTTACTATGAATATGCACTGTAAACTGGGTTTTTTATGATGTTTTCTTGAATTGAATGCAAGAGTTTGCTTGGAAAATGTTATATTGATTAACGTTCCTTGGAAGCTGGCCAGGAACCAAAATATGTGACGGATCACATCTTAAAAAGGACATACCCTCTTGGAGTGTGTGTTTATTTCAGGTCTGAAGATATTTGTTCAGATTCTTGTCATGTATTTTCAGGTTTTAACAAGCGTTTTCTGCATACCTAAATGGACTTTCGTTCGTATGAGTGATCACTGTTGGTAGGAAACCGGAAGAGGGAACAATAGACCAAAATTAACACGCCAATTGTAGTAGGCCAAGTATTAAGTTTTAGATTTTTCAGTATATCTAGTTTAAGTGAGCGCTCTTAGTTTTTTATGGGTTTTTTACCGTTGTATTTCTGGGGCCTCGGAACTTGCTGGTATTAGACAAGGCGATCTGCGAATTTTTATTGGTATGCAAACTACGTCCACTATGCATTAAATCTTTGGACATGATTTGCTTTCTTGTCCATCTTCGTCACAAGTATGCCAAGTATGGGTATGAAAATGAAGTAACAATTTGTTCATATTTGGATTCAGACAGGACAAGCCAAAGCTTCTTGCCACGTGAACTAAAAAAGTGATATTTCAATACCAACTTGCATAGTAGCTATTTAATTCTGAAAAAAATAAAAATAAAAATCATCGTTCTATCAGTTTCATTTGCAATTTCTTGGGAAAACCTAAACAGATTACTCTTTATACATACTTTTATAAAAGAGTTAGTAGCATAGCGATTAAACTGAATTTATTGCAGTATCTAGTAGAGAATCTATTCGATTTCAAATAATAATGTCTCAATAGTACTAAAACAACACGTTCTTTCAAGAATGCGTCTAGTGCGATCCTTCTTTTTTAAGTTTTTCTACGAAATCAACATATTTTCTTTCTTCATGTCCCCTTCTCTGCAGTAAAGGTGTTTCAGGAAAGTACCCATTCTATGTCTCTTTAAATGATGGGTCATGGGACTTGTGTCCTTAATTTTAAGATGATATATCATCATTTAACTAAATTTTGAAATTAAAATTGTTGGAAGAATTTTGTGAATAGTGACGCCGAAATAAGTATAATGATGGTGACAAAGCCGAGGCAAGAGTTGGACTCTTTGTCCTTAAGTCGAATTTGCCCCGCAACGGTGCCTACGGATTTCGGCAATCGACTCCCAAGATACAACGGCTACACTTGTGTTTGTAGCACTCCAAAACACAAGTACAACGAACCAAATGTAGGCTTATGTACTCCACAGATGAAATGAAAGAAAATCAAAATAAATGAAATGATTTTGATTTTGGATAGAAGAGAGGATGAGAGACGTTTTTGCATATCAAACTGTGAGGAATAGGACACCCAAAGGGTCCTATTTATAGACCATGAAGGGGTGTGGACGAAATGGTTGAGGCCAAACCATGCACCCTTTCCAAACAATGCACCTTTATGAAAAGGTGTCTATTCACTAATGGTTGAGACCTTTTTCGTAATTTCTCATTCATCCGATATTGGTTTTCGAAATGCCAAATATACCCTTCAATACATGCAGAGAAATCAAAATTCTCTTTCGGGGGCGTTGCCCCCGACCCCCCCACGAGGGGCGCTGCCCCCTCGACCCTCGCGACCTGACCGGGCAGGTCGATCCCCGTTTGTGCGCTCCGAAGCGGCGAAGTGGCAAACAATTTTGCCTAAACGGATTGAGTCGAGCTTTTGAGTATTTGGCCGAATTCGATACGAACTTTAATCGATTTTCAATTCTCAATTTATTTAACCAATATCCAACAAAAATGAGATAATTTTAAGCAGGCTTTGGTTTTAACGGCCATTGCACAAACAGAGTGGTTTAATTGTTGTTATAATGAAGTTAAGTGACCAGATTGTTGATAATCGAAGTTCTCCTGGGATTCTACTGATGAGTAAGGCCCGTTATACATAGTTTATCGTGGTTGCTGAGATTGTATCCAACGTAGCACCGTTTTTGCACCAAATATTATACATAGTTTATTGTGGTTGCCAAGATTGTATCCAATGTAGCACCGTTTTTGCACCAAATATTTGGTGCAAATCGACTCCAATGTATTGCACCAAAATGGTTATACAAGTTTGCCCTTCTATTTCACTTTATAAAAATATAAAAAAATTGGTTAAGGATATTTGCGTCCATTTTTTATACATTTTTTTAATACAATAAATTATATTATTTCTAATAAATTTTAATAGTGCGATCAACGATAATTAAGGAATGAATTAAAATAAAAATACTTAAAATGTTTTAAAATGTAACAAATGCGATTATTTAAAGTTATGACGAAAACATTACAACAACCACATACAAGGTTATTTATATTAATTGTACTACATTTTTTTAATGGGTAATTGGTACAAAACGTCCCTACCTTTCGAGTGTATTGTGGAAAACGTTCCTACCTTCAATTTTTTGGTATTTTTGCCCCAATTTCCACATTTCTTTGCATCGAAGGACCTTTTCACTGTTTTTTGGTTGTAAAATGATCAATATGTCTTCCTCTTTAAATAAAAGAAAAAGAAAAGAAAAGTTGCAACTATAGGCGAAACTTCTAAAAAAGTGCAAATGTCCTTCCCCCAAAATTTCACCTTCTTCCCACACCTCACCCCGGCGCCACCGTCACTTGCCGGCCATTTTCAACCACCTTCCGGTCAGCTTGACCGTCAAACCAACATACCAACTTGAAGCCCTCACTTTCCTCTTCACGACCACCCAACCATTGGCCGGAAATCTAAAGAAATTGACCGAGAAATCGCGCCAAAATAGGCTGTCCACGCAACTTCAACAGCAAAATTAACAAATTCAACTCCATTTTTGGACGCCGACGTCATGATCGACGACAGCGGACCACCCCTCCTAGTACCGCCTCTTCAAGAAGAACCTAATGAACCTATGGGTCATCATCAATTTTAAACAGAAATTGTAGAACCAGGCGATTTCTTCAGCAGCGAAATGGCAACTTCAAACACATTTTTCGTCGTCGATGTCACAATCGACGATCGCAGACCAACCCTTCTAGCAACGCTTCTTCAAGGCGAACCTAATGAACCTATGGGTCATCGTCAATTTTGGCCAGAAATTGTAGAAACAGCCTCGACAGTTCGTACATAAAGAAATTTGACTGATCCCCTTTCGATTGATAATGCTACAGGGCTCCAATCCACCAATTCTAGCATGTAATCATCAACTAATGTTGTCACAACTATGGGTCCTCCATCAATTGCATCAATTCATCAACCAAACGATCAATTTTCAAGATTGTACTCAAGAACTACCGGCCGAATGCAAACTCCGATTTTCTGGCTGTAGATTTTGATTTTCAGCTTTGTTCGATGATATGAAGACATCTATAGGAGCGCAATGAAGAGCATAATCGACCTCGAGGATGGGTGTGCCATGGGTGTCGTTGGAAATAGAGTTTTTGGCCTCCATTTTTGGTCATTTCATATTGCGTGAGCAACCAATTTTGGCGTAATTTTTTGGCCAACTCCTTTAGATTTTCGGCTAATGGTTGGATAGGTTGTGAAGATGAAATTGAGGGCTTCAAGTTGGTATGTTTGTCCAGCTACCAAGCTAACCGGAAGGTGGCTGAAAATGGTCGGCAATTGGCGGTGCCATGGGCGTGAGGTATGGTAAGAAGGTGAAATTTTTTTTGGGGGGGGGGGGGGGGGGGGTTTTTTAGAAGTTTCGCCTATAGTTGCAATTTTTCTTTTCTTTTATTTTTTTCTTTTATTTAAAGAGGAGGACATATTGATTATTTTACACCCAAAAATTGAAAAGGACCTTCGACACAAAGAAATGTGAAAATATGGGCAAAAATGTCAAAAAATGGAAGGTATGGACGTTTTCCACAATACACTCGAAAGGTAGGGACGTTTTGTGCCAATTACCTTTTTTTAATTTATTAATGAATTCAATATTTTCATTAATTTAATGTAATTATTTATTTAGTAAGTTATGTAGTGGTAGAACAAATGAATAAATAAATTTTCAAATAAATCAAAGAAATTAATAAAATATTTAAACATTGTTTATTTGATGTAAGTTTTGGTATAATGGGTTGGAAATTATTTTTAGTTTAATGTAAGATTTGGTGTAAAATAATGCAAAATTTACCCCAAATTTTGGTGCAAGATTAAAGATGGCCTAAGAATTTAGTTGCGTTATATTTTTCTATAGCAATAAACGAACGGCAAGACAAAAGGATTATATAGACTACCCTAAATTGTTACTGATCAATCCTAAATTTTTTCAAATCCAGGACACTATATACATTGACAACATAGAACAAAGAGAAGATGCTGAAACTCTACAAATCATTCAGAAAACCAGAACAGCATTTGCTTTTTGGATAGAAGAATACATTTGTTACGAAACCATTGAGACAAGCCATATTATCTTTTCTTATGTACTCTTACTACATATTCTTCATCACCTAAGGTCAAGAGCGGAGCTAGAAATTTTGTCCAGTGCGGGGAAAATTTAAATTCGAATTTTTCGATTCTGGATTTAATGATATTACGACAATGCTAAAAATAACATAGCGACAACACCAATAAGATAAAAATCTTCTTCCTTATTCTTGGATCTATAGCAAGTTGTATAACATCGAAATCTATTTTATTCGATATCTCCACATCAACATTTTCTACGAAATATCTTCTTTTAAAGAATCTTTACATTGACACTTCACACTAAAATAAATCACAAATGACAATTAAATACTAATTGATAAGAAAAGAACTACTAATTTTTACAAATTGGAAGAACACCATAAAATCATCACTAATTGATAGAAATCAAAATTTCAAGAATCCATCACAAATATTAGCAATATTCAACATTCACATAATCAAAAGCCCTAATATTAAACAGAAAAATCACATGATCAAGA